CGCATTGGTGTTTTAGACCTTAATGAATAGCAATTATTGAAAATTCAGAAGCTTTTCTGTTGTCATTTGTTCTCATCGGGTTCTTCACCTATTATTCTATCTTAAGCTCTATTCTTGTATGATTATTAAATGTTCATTATATATTTTATAAATAATGTGGTTGTCTCCTTTTCCTACAGGTCTTGGACTCAGCTCACCAAGTTGGAAGATATTCTATCTCAAGTGCCCCTGATTTGCCTTACAATGAAATGGCCAACCACTGCGAAGCTCTTATGATTGGTAAGCAGCAGAAGATGTCCCATTTGATGACGGTTCAGCAACAAGAAAGCTTAATCAACTTCTATGTCCAACATGCTGATCTCGAACCAAACAGGACTACATCTCCTTCACATGTAAGCCACTTATTAAGATTCTTTTAGTTTTGAGGTTTCAATTGTTGCAATGTTTGATGTATGTATTTGTGAAGAAATTTTTGATATAGCATTGTCCCACGAACACAAACAATTTGAGACACCCTAAAAGAAACCAGTTAACAAGAAGGGAAGGAGGGATGATCCATTTTACTGTTTAACACTTAAAAAGCTAGCAATACACATGTGAACAGGGTAGTTTCTTACTAACTAACTCCCAAATTCTTGGTTGAATATAGCTCGGAGTGTTTTCTTCCCGAAAATGGCTTCTCTTGTCGAGGCTGAATACAAGCTTCCCACGTCAAGCCCTTATGACAACTTCTTGAAAGCTGCTGGTTGTTGATTATCAATACAATAGAGGCAGCCAAAATGTTCTGCGGGAGCAATATATATTGGTATTGACGTCTTGGTGTGTTTCACATATGGCAGGCGTTCTGTGCACGAAGTAGCTAAAGATTCTATCAGCTACTCATGAAGCAGCTTAAATAATTATATAGTCAATCCTAGATTCCAAAAATTCATTTTATTCATTAATTAAATTTTTAATAAATTTTGTTTTGGGTTATCCAATTTTGTTCCAGTGGAATCTTCTTGAATTTTTTGGGTCAGAGTTGATTTCAAGTACAACTTTACATTTTCATTTGTATCTGCTGAAAGTTTCAGTATTGTATAAAGGAATCATTTTTCTAGAAATCATCTTATTGGTGTTGACATCAATTTTTTTTTTTTTTTTTTTTTTGGTATGCATATTATGAATAGAATTTACTGTAAATTTACTGAGCATTGATGAAAAAGCCATTTTTTTTTTTTTTCACTCTGACCATGTATTTTGATCTTTGTGTACAAGAAAGATGATTTTAAAAGTAGTAAATTAGTATTTAAAGAGTGTAGCTGAGTCGATAGACAAAGGATCGGAGACGACGTTGGCTAATGATTTTGAAGCTAAGATTTTGTTATGTTGCTATTCTTAAGTGAAGAATTTATTGTAACATATTTGCTAATAACACTAATTAATTACACGAGTAATGTAGGCCACACAACTTAAGAAATGTGGATGCAAATTTGACATGACATGAAAGAGAGAGCAAGCATGAAATACTTTGAAACCCAAGCTTATACAACGTCAAAGGCTTCAAGCAACAAATCTTCATGCAGGATAGCACCCCAAACATACCCACTCCACTTCACCCTTCACACATCAATTTGGTGTTTTAGTTCTATCTCTATCTTATTGGACACATACCCGATATATCGACGGTTTTTGGCCTAAACGATCTATATAATTAAGTACCTCACTAATATGTAGAGGAAAAGCAACAAAACACCTTTTAATTTTCACAATAGCAATAATTTTTAGCAATAACTATAACAATTACTATTACACATTTGCTTATACTACAAATTACCAACACTCGATTTTATTTTATTGGGTTGATGAAGAGAACAAGATCTACGTTTAGGGAATGAATATATTATAACTTATACTATTTTTCTTAAAATAATTATAAAGTAAAATTTGTAGACTGCTTTTTAATGACTTATTATTATGCTCATAATATATATTTAGTATTAATAAATAATTGTACTTTTGATTACACTAAGGTGGCTAACACGCGTGTTGTGCGCACCATAGCTAGCTATATTCGGGGAGCTTTTTAAGTATGCAAGGCCCATTCCAAAATCTTTATCCAACCCATTACATAGAATTAATTATAAAAGGGATATTAACATGTGGCCCATTTATTTGCACATTATCTTTATTAGCCAACCTCTTTAGGGCTCTTACTAGATAAGCAACAACCGTAACATGAGTGCAACACTGTATGTCAAAACTAGCTTACTTCCCGTGCATAATATCAAGAATATTTACCATTGATCGAGAAAGGGTAACCTTAGAACATATTATAAGAATAATAATTAATTTAACAACCAACTTTATTATTTTTTTGACGGGGTCTAATTCAATAAACATAGTAACATAGTAGAGTATATGAATATCACATAATCTTATAAAATAATCACTTTCTTGATTGTGATGAATATGATGATTGATGGTCTAAAATGTGGCCTCCATTGGAGTTCGGGAGATAGAGCTTGTTTCATGAATAATTGAACACATCCCTATCAAAGTTGTCAATATCCTCACCTAAGCCCCTTCAATCGATCTTGCCTCATTTTCACTACTCATCAGATGAAGGTGGTTGTAAATCTCATTTGGGTTGTCAATCAATTCAATTTATAGGCTGTTGGAGAAGAAGCATAAAATAGACTAGATATTGTTGCAAGAATTTTTAGAGCAAAGGTATTTGCTTTGAAACATTTAATATGAATTAAACTTGTGTTTTAGGTTTGATTAGGACGACGTCCACTCTTGGTTCTTGGTTTCTCTTTGGCATGAGAAGAGTTGTTCCAAAGTGGTAATGAATCAGTGGAAGCTTTGCCTCTGCCTCCACCTCCTGCAACAGAAATTGCTCCGAACGTAGTACTAATTAAGGGTGAACTAGATCCTCTTGAGAGGAAATGTGTCCCTAATACATCCTTGTCAAAGTTGTCAATATCTTCACCTAAGCCCCTTTTATCAATCATGCCTCATTTATGCTACTCATCAGATGAAGATAGTTGTAAATCTTAGATTTTGGGAGGGAGTGAGATGAGAGAAAGAGATAGATCTAGGGAGAAAGAGGGGTAAGAAAGAGAAAAGAGAAGGGTCGGGATAGAGAAAGATAGAGAGATAGAGATGAGCCAGGAGAAGAGAGAGAGAGAGAAAGAGAGTGGGAGAAAAAGAAAAAGATAAGGGTCCAAAGAGAAAGAAATAGAGCAGGGAGAGAGAGATAAAGTGATAAAGAGAGAGATGAGTCGGGAGAGAAAAGGAAAAGGGTCAGGAGAGAAAGAGAGGGATGCTTACTAAACCACTCAAACCATACAAGAAGAGTGGATAGGAGGGAGAAAAAAGGAACAAAAAGGTGAAAGAAAGCAAGGATGATAGAAAAGGGAAATGAGATAAGACGAGGAAGAAATATAAGGGAGAGGGTATATTGAAGGAAGAAGAGATAAGAAGAACTTTAAAAAAAGCAAGTTAGTGACTACCACGCCAATAAGATCCCTTAATCATCATGTTTATAACACCCCAAACTATGAAACACGATCACAATCATGAATCTTACATATGCTTTGGATATAGGAGGAAGTCCAATAAAATTTCTTACTGCGTTTTACTTTGGAGGTTGTATGTATATTTACATCATTACATATACTTTTGATATTTGACAATTGCTTTTGGTATTACCCTATAAGCCATGACATTCTATAACCATGAGTGTGTGTGTGTGTGTGTGTGTGTGTGTGTGTGTGTGTGTGTGTGTGTGTGTGTGTGTGTGTGTGTGTGTGTGTGTGTGTGTGTGTGTGTGTGAGGGAAGGGTCAAGAGACAGAGAGGGTGGCTAAGAGATTGAGAGGCCATCAAAAAAAGGAGGAAGGAGAAGAGGGAAAGAGAGAGATTGAGAAAGAGACACAGGGAGTTTAAGGAAATAAAGAAAGGAAGGAGAGATAAAAACTTTTTAGAGTGTGATTAAGGAGATGAAAATACTTTTTAGAAACTTCATAAAATGCTCAAAATTATAAAACATAAATAAAAGAAAATGAAAGCTAGAGGGATAAAGAAACAGAGTAACCAAGAAAGAGGGAATAAAAATCGACGATTAGATTTGGATAAACTTCAATTCTTTCATTAAATGTTATTCATTAACCAATATGGTTTTGTGACAATTATGGAAATGCTAACTAATTTGTAGCACTTTTAGAATAAAACGTTCAACCTTATAGTAGAATTGTGTTAGATTCACAAGTAAATTTTTTTAAATGTTTATATAACCATAGTAATAGATAGCTTTAAAGAGAAAGAGTGGAAGAAAGATGGAGGGAGGAGGAGAAAGGAAGAGAAGGAGGGAGTGGGAGAAGGAGGAGGAGGAGAGAAAGAGAGAGAGAGGGGAAGTAGGAGGAGGAGATTAGAGAGAGAGGAAAAGAGGGAAGGATTAGGAGGAGGAAAGAGAGGAAAGAGGGAAGGAATGGGACGAGAGAGAGAGAGAGAGAGAGAGAGGAGGGGGTAAGATAAAGAGAGATGGGTCGGGATAGAGAAAGTAAGAGAGATAGAGATGAGCTAGGAGGATAAGGAGAAAGAGAGGGGGCTGGGAGAAAAAGAAAAAGATAAGAGTTGAAAGAGAAAGAAATAGCGCAATTAAGAAAAAGAGGCACTAGGCGAAAAATGGTAATCAGCACTGGTTCAAAACCTCCATTTAGCACCGGTTTTAAACCGGTGCAGATTTGAGGGATGCCAAAAACACAAAGATTTCGCACCGGTTCAAAACCAGTGCCAATTCTTAGATTTCGCACCGATTCTTGCTGTGAACAGGTGCTAAAAATAGTCCAAAAAATTAAAATAAAAAACTTTTAGCACTGGTGCCAAATATTCCCAATTTTTTTTTTGTGCATTTTTTTCACTTAAATTGTACCAAATACTTATATATAATCATAATATACATAAAACACATATATTTTCTTCAATAACTTGTAATATTACACTTTAAAAACTGGGGAAAAAAAAAAAAAAAAAAACTACACAATCAAAGATAGGAGGCAGTAGCAACACTAAAGTAGCAGGAACAACAGAGGTAGATTAACAACTACGCCTTCACCAGCAGATGTGATGGAAGAATAGTGCTCCTCTTCTCCATATGAAAGCTTGAGCCCAGTGGAGACAGGGATTTGCTTCAACATATTCCTGGCTTGCCCTACTTCATTCTGGCAAAAATTGTCATACGATGTCACAGGAAGCTTATGCTTCTGGCTGAATACATGTGTACCTCTTCCTAATTAAATGGATTCACAAAGGATAAGTTCTTGTCCCCAGCCATGTTCATTATATCATTACAGCCAAAGAGAGCTTCCATATAGATCAATGCAACACATTCTGGTGTTAATCCCAAAATTGCAACAACCAGAAGAACAAGAACGGGATTATTCATAAAACTGCAAGTTTAATTTAAAGCAGGACAGTGAAATGTAAATGACACTGATGAAAACCATGAAAAGTTGTTGCAAGTCTTCCAACCAACTACATCAACCTTAGCAAAACCACACTGGAAACCATTTGTTCTTATACTGAACTATAAGGCAGGGGACACTATCAATTGTGACAATCTTGTCAATCAACCAACAACAAGATAATTGTGCTTCAGAGGTTACTTGTCAATCAACAACAAGACAATTGTGCTTTTGAGGTTACTTATCAAGCATTATCCAATACCCCAACCAAAGTAACCAAACTGACAAAAACAACTAATTCACTACTCAATCACTGACTCCCAATACACAAGCATAGAGGAAAAAAATCACATCAAAATAAAGCATTAACCCAACGGTAGTATGCAAACTACCGAAAACCACTATCTCCTTAACCAACTCCCTACATAAACACCAACAGGAAGCAAATCTTCAATAGACGAATAAGACATAAATACCAACCGCTTCACCACTCATATGATCATATCAAGAGTCTAACTAAACAAGTAATATTAGAAATCCGATTATAAAGAATACCAACAAGCATTCAGGCAAACAGAAATCAGCAAAACAGAACTAACCATCCAATTGCATTGACGGCACTACATTGGCATTGTATGGCATCCTGACACTCTCCATATTAACAGGAAGCATAGGATTAGTATCATTAGCTCCAAACATGCTCCTGCAGGAAATCCATCCAAACTAGTATTAAAATTCAATTATTATATTCCAAGCACATTACATCAAATGGAAGAGAATGAGCTACTTGCAAATTCATGTGCCGCAATACCCCAAACAGTACTGGTCAAACAACTCTCAACCTCCACATCCCCCCTTCCATCAAAGAAACACGGTTCGAAACGGTGAGACCCGTTTGCACACTACCTTTTGATTGTGCTTATCATCAAGCACCGTGAAATGAGTAAAGCATAGCATATATCATGAGTACAAAATTAAAACTAAGTATCATATGAAACAATATAAATATGAACAACTTCATTAAGGTCAACAAAAAAGCCAATCAACCAAAAAGACTAGTAAACAAAATAAGAATCATGAAATGAGTAAGCATTAAATCATGAATACATCACAAAAACTATGTATCATATGAAACAATGTAAATATGAACAACTTCATTATGTTCAACGTTAACAAAAAGCCAATCAACCAAAAAGACCAGTAAACAACTCAGAATCCAGGAAAATAAACACCTCAAGAAATATAGAAAAAAAAGTAGGATTACCCTTATCACAAGCATTCTCACAATTCTCAAAGACATCAAGCTTAATCAAACTTATGCTAAAGTTGATGATATTCATGAAATGACAAATTTCCTTCCGAAATTTGCAAGATTTCTTAACACTATAAGATGATATCAAAGCAAAACATTATAAACCAAAAATTTAAGGTCCAACAATCATATTAATCAAACCATAATCAGATTAAGGGGAAAAAACAGGAAAACAGAAGATACCCATGAAAAAAACATCAAAACAAAACAACCCACAAGATAATTTCATCAAAAAAACACAAATAAAACCAATAATTTCATTACAAACCCAGAAAAAAGGAAGAGTATTCGCAATTGCACAACAGCCGAACCCACCAAATCCACCAAAGACGCAATTGCGCCACCATGAAGAGTATTCGCAATATTCTACAATATCATCCCCAAAACAATTTCGGAGATTCAAAGTTAAATTAGAAACCCTAGTTACAAAACCTAAAACCTAGATTTCAAATTGAAGAGCACATACCTCGAATTTGTGATTTTTGAATCGATAATTGATTCAAGTTTGTTGTTGTTGTTGTTGTATTTGGTTCACATTGACGGCAGCGGCGATGGTGGTTGTGCTTGATTATGGAGAAGGAGATCGAAAAAGAGAAGAAAGGAAAGGGAAAATGGCGGTTATGGAGAAGGAGATTGAAGGAGAGAGAAGGGGGTTGAGGAAAGTGCTGAGAGAAAGCTCAGAAGCCCCTTCAATGGAGAATGTCGAGTACGCTTCAATGGAGGAGAGAGAGAGGAGACAGAGGCAAATGAGAGAGGAGGAAAGATCGAGGAATTGAAAGAGAAAGAAAGAAGATTATAACCGTTTTTTTTATTTTTTATTTTACAGCAGCTTTCACACCAGTTCGAACTGAACCGGTGCGATTTACTCACTTTTCGCACCGATTTTGTTAGAACCGGTGCGATTAACTCATTTTTCGCACCGGTTTGGTTAGAACCGGTGCGAAAACTCATTCCCTCAATCCCGCCTATTTTTTTCACACCGGTTTTTAAAAACTGGTGCGCATTTGGCGGTGCCCATTTAAGTTTTTATACTAGTGAGGGGTAGGGAGAAAGAGAGAGATAGAGTGATAAAGAGAAATATGAGTCGTGAAATTAAGAGAGAAGGGTCGGGAGAGAAAGAGAGGGAGGGAGGCTTACTAAACCGCTCAAATTATACAAGAAGAGTGGATAGGAAGGAGAAAAAAAAGAACAAGAAGGTGAAAGAAAGCAAGGATGAATAGAAAAGGGAAATGAGACAAGACGAGGAAGAAATATAAGGGAGAGGGTATGTATGTTGGCAGATGAGATAGGAAGAACTTTAAAACAAGTTAGTGACTACCACATAAATAAGGTCCCCTAATCATCATGTTAATAACACCTCAAACTATGAAACACGATCACAACCACGAATCTTACATATCTTATCGTTGGGGGGGGGGAGAGGGGGAACCATTGACTTGTCGGGGAGGGGAAATGTGTTGGCTGTTTCTTGTGTTCTGTGTTTGGTTTAATTCGTTGAGGTTTATACCATTGTTTTGAATCTCAATGTCTTTTGTGTTTTTCACTCTAACACGTTAATCATGTGACCGGTTCTTCATCATTTATTTTTTCCAACTACATTCCCTCTCATTTGAAATTTTGAAACAAATAACTCATTTCAATTGTACAAAAATTAAAGTCTTATTTTTTATCGTAATTATAATTTTCGATTTACAGTTAAAATTTTCAGATTCTAAATTACGATATTAATATACTTCAAATGTTGGTTTTTTACTTTAACATTACCTTATCATACACTCGAAATCAATATAGCATGCAGTAGCGAAGAAGAAGAAAAAAAAAAAAAAAAAAACTAACAATAATTACACTGATTAATAACATACATACACTTACGCTACATAATATTCACATCCGATTTTACCATATTAGGCTATCGTGCGTACTTGTCATACACTCGAAATCAATATAGCAATAGCAAAAAAAAAATAACAATAACTACACTAGACCTGGCAATCCTGACCGAGACCCGATTAATGACCCGACCCATGACCCGAAAATGACCTAAATATAACTAACCGAAAATGACCCGAAACCCGAAATTGACCCGATCCGACCCGAAAATAGAGTTGACCCGATCCTGTCTCGACACCCGAATTGACCTGACCCGAAATTGACCCGAATTGTTTGACTCGAACAAACCCGATACTCAAAAACATACCCCATACTCGAAATGTCCCGAACTAAAATTACCTTATAATTGAACTAAAAATGTCTGGTGCCAAAAATAATAAAATATAAAATTATTTATTTGAACTAGATCCACAAATTAAATGGAACAACCTGAACATGACCCGACCTGATTTTGACCCGACCCAAATATGACCCGAACATACTTGACCCGAAAATAACCCAACCCGAAATTGACCCGACTCGAACTCGACCCGATACCTGACCCGAGCCATACCCGAAACCCGAAATGACCCGACCCATACGGGACCCGAATGTTAATTGACCCGATATGACCCGGCCTGTACCCGACCCAAACGACCCATTTGCCAGGTCTAAACTACACTGACAAATAGCATACAAACACTTACGCTACGTTATATCTCAAGCCGATAACATCATTTTGGGCTATCGCGCGCGAATGCTCAACTAGTATTAAATAAATTGATCAATTTTATTTATTTTTTTAACAAAAAATTGATCAAGTTATACATTTACATACGTACGTGAAATAATAAAAGTGTAAAGAATTTAAAGATATACTTCCTCTGTTCTTTTTTACTTGACCTATTCTTTTAAACACGCTTGCTAATGCCAAACTTTAACAATCAATAACTTTAATTCTCCATAAGTAAAAATTATAAAAGTTATATATTATGATAGTACTTATTGAGACAAATTCAAAAAGATCTCACATGAATATGTTTTTCCTTGCATATTATTTACAAAAGACGGTCAAAGGAGAGGTGGTGAATAGTGTAAAAGTCAAACGGGTCAAGTAAAAAATAACGAAGGAAGTATGATGTTATGGAGTACTCCGTATAAAATTGCTAAAACAGAAGTTCATTAATCTAATGATCTTGGAAAAAGTTACTAATGCAACTTTGCGACCACAAGGCTGAAAGTAGCTAGTTCAGAACCCAGAAAAGCTAGAATAGCCCAATAATTAAATGGGCTACCCATTGGGCTCATTATAGTATGTGGTCTGCAGACTCATAAAAACTAAAGGCGTTTTTAAGAGTCTGCAGCCCACATTAAATGGGCTACCCATTGGGCTCAATATAGTTTGTTTTAGAGATATACGTAGTGAAAGAGCTTTTTGGCCCGATTGTTCTGCTAGCTTATCATCAATATAAGCACAAATGCACAATGGAGAAATCTCAAACATGCAAGGTTATATTATCTACTTTTTTTGTAAAATTATTATAAACTTTTAATGCATTTAGGATAATTGTTTTTGAGCTTTAAATTTAGATTGACTTTTGGAATCTTTATAAGTTAATTTATTTACTATTAAAGAGTTGAACGACATTTACAAGAGAAATCAAAACTTAAAAACAAAAAACAAAAAACAAAAAGCAAAATCAACTAATATGCTAATTGGTAAAACTTCAATCATTGCGAAGGATAACTAATAATATGAATACCCTCTTTCACATCATTGTATTATACTCATTTCATAATTTTGTTGAAAAACCTCATTGTTGTCCCCATATAAATTGTCCACATTAAAAAAAAAAAAGAGTAGATCAAAGAAAGTACACCTTATAAGTTATAAGTTAGAGAGGTACTTCTACCGAACTATCATCAGTTGATTTTAATTAGTTTGGAATCTCCTTTAATTTGGAAATGTAAGTTGACCGAACTCTCCTCTTTATTGAGTTGCCTAGGCTTGTTTCATATTCTTTGAAATTTAATACATCTGATCTTTGCAGTTTTATATCTAATAGAATTTTATGCAAATTATAGTAGATGAGTAGAATTACCTTTGCTGTGACATCGCACAAATCTTCACCAACAAATTATTATTATTATTATTATTATTATTATTATTATTATTATTATTATTAGGAGCTTACTATGAACATACTAGAACAATTATTTTAGGGTTATGAGGAAGGAAGATAGATTTGTTTACTAAATATTTTTAATGATCATATAACTATCTCTAAGTAAAAATTAGTTGAGATTTGATAGAAAATGTATACGTTGTTATTTATTTATTTATTTATTTTTAATCTGAATACGTATGTAAGTATTAGATTTCATTTGCATAAAAAGGGTATAAAGATTACCAAAAACAAATGGAAGGTGTACTAATTTTATTGAACAGATGCTTGCTCTTGGCTGTTTCAATAGACATTAACTTTTAAATGGTTCAAGGGGCTAACATAGCAATAGCAATAGCAAATAAACACATAAAATTGGCCAACATTTCTCTTATTTTTATATCATTATGGGGACGTGTTAAAGATGAAGGGATGAACACAAATCAATTCTATGTCGATTCTACAATTTTGATTATTTATTTATTTATTATTTTTTTTAATTGTTTTTTGGGAGGAATAATATTCTTGATGGATAATGATACAATTTTTTACCCTAACAAATAGATGAAGAAGATAAGAACATGTACAATAAAACCCTCTTAAAAGATCCTTTTTAAGGCTTAGTGGAGGGACCCTTAAGTTTCAGGTAATCATTACAAGAATTGAATCAAATATTTGCAATGTCTATTTGTAGGAATTCCATTTAGTTTTTATCTAACTTATATTTTACCTTTATATATTTTGAGATATTGCTGGTTGGTTGGTGTCAATATAAAAGACTATGTTATAATGTTATATTGTAATGTTTAAAAGTCCCTCCAAATTGAAGGCAGGCTGCGGCTGTCTACTTTGTAATTAAGATGTCTAGATGAATTGAACACGCGTTTTGTAAGGAGGTAGAACAAGATTGTGCACCAAAAAAGATAAATGGACGCATGCATTTTTTAGACCTTCTTTGTTGAATCATGTTCATGACTCATGAACATGGAATTGAGCAACCTTCGTTTTCTATCTTGAATGAAGCAACTATGTCTCTATTATACTCGTCACTAAAATAAGTTTCGGCAAAAAAAAAATTCAAATAAAATATGGAGTACTATTTCAAAAAAACTTCACTTATTATCCTAAGTTTTGTAAAAACAAGTAAAATTAAGTGAGTACAGTATAAGTTAGATAGAACAAAGCCTAATTCATTTGTCAACCAACGAGTAGAATTTTACTATTTGTCTACCTATGATAATTGTTAATCTCTCTATAGTTATAATAACAAGGATTAGTGATAAGTTTCTATAGGAATCAAATACGCGTCTTTCAATTCTCCCTTTACTTAGGAGGGAATGCGTTTTAAATATAATATTAGGAGTGTTAAATCAATTAATTTCATCCAAGTTTCTTTGATGCACCTTCTAGATTTCATGTGGTCCTTTAGATGAATATATACGATTAGTATTACGTACATGTATGCTTTCCAAACAAAGCAATCCTTCAAGAGTTTTTATTCACAAAGAACTGCAAAATTTTAAAAATTCATTACAACCTAGAAAAGTAGAACATTTCGTGGAGATTACAACTTCCTACGCAGTATATTTTTAATTTTTTTATCAATCAAACAAT